GTAAATGGCTACACCCAGGTGCTCAAGCCAGAAACCTGAAATGTATTTTTTTCTCTTCTTCACCTGGCACTTCTCTTTATCTAGTTGGAAACAAAAATAATTATTATGATTCATATATATTGAGTACCTACTGTATACAAAGAACAGATCTAAGTTCATTGTACTAACTCATTTTTTTCTCCTATCTAGATGTAGAATCTGCCATTTTTAGCTTTGGTACAGATGAGGAAATAGGTTAAGTCTTTTGCCCAAAGTCACTCAGACAGGAGGTGGTAGAGCCAAGAATCCATATCCAGGCAGTCTGGCTCCAGATTCCTTGCCCCAAATTTTTGCGCTATTTAGGAAATGGTGTTTCAACCTTAGTTACTGGAAATCATTTTACAATGTCTGAGTCCACTGTCTTAAGTGAGTAAATGAATATAATTTTGATAATTCAAAGATGATCAGGTCCTGCAACTCTATTCTGCAGTTTGGTTAATGGAGGTACCCATAGTCATGAAGACCCATCTGTATTGATGGTGAGTCTAGGACCTGACTGGGAAGTTGTTCTGAAACAAAAATTCTAACAGCACTTGATTTTCCTGTTGATGATTTTTTTCTTCAAAGTAGAAAGTGCCAGTAAAAGTTAGTTTACTTGAAGACTCTGCTTAATGCTAAATCATAATAGATACAAAGGCACATGCATTATAAACACCATTAAAAAATAGACTACTTTTCTTCTTTGAAGTTATATTGATTTGGAGACAAAGTGGGCTGGAAGGCAGATAGTCCAAGCCCTACTCTTGTCAAATTAAATGAAGCACATACTTAAAAATAAACCACAATCCTTCTAGCACCAGCAGTGCCATCTGTAAACTAAGAAGAATAATAAAGGATCACAAGTTGGGATTTCTCAATTAAAGCTGAAAAAATGCATGTAATTTTAAGTGTAAAGATTAGTGCAAATCCAGCAAGTATCACTTGTGAGTTTTAAGCTTATTCGGGGTCTAGTAGCCAATATCATATAAGTCTACTATCAAATTAACATTCTAACTAGATACATTTTAAGGCCAAAAGGGTACACTTTAAAGGGCCCAAAGTGCCTTAGCAAATAAAAGAGTACCAGCAAGAGGCTTTTTGGGCAAGTGCCCAGATCATATGAGCTAGAAAGAGACAAGTACCCAATGTTACCAGAAAATTCAAGGTCAGCACTGGTAGTTGCGTTTCCATCACCCCAGTGCTCACTTTAACAAAGGATTGTCCTTGCTAGTGAAAGTTGCATTCATTCCCCATGCATTCTTTCAGCCTCACCATTCATGATCCCTCCAGAGAATTCAGTTGCTTCAACATTCCCAAATAAAAGCAAATGATTATTTTTGTCTCTTTTTATAACATCTGAAAAGATGCAGAAAATGAAGACTAGTAAGCTAGAATTAATTTCAGCTGAGCATGACTTTCAGATAAGCACTACTAGGTAAAAAATATACATTTAATGAAGGGCTTATACCTTACCTGATTTTTTTTTTAAATACCCTTCAAACACTTGGCCAATCTAATGTTTTGTCCAACCTACAGCAGTCTTTCCAACCTCCCTCTCCCAACCCCTAATATACAGGAGAGACTTCTGAAATGGAAAAGTACCTCTGTCCATCCTTGCTGTTAAGTCAGATCATTTCAAAAAGTGTCTGGGATTGACTTTTCCTTACAAAAGAATGTATTGTTGATTAAAACAACAATAAGGGAAAACCACACCCCTTCGTAACCTTAGCCTGTTCTTAACCACCCAGAAGACAGCCTGGCATCTGCTATCTATGTTGCTAGAGAAAGCCAGGTCTGGAGCAGTCTGTGCAGCTTCTGCCTGCACAGTTCACCAGCTGGAAATGATGTCCTGTGACTACAAACAGATCTAACTTATTCCTATTGTGCAAAGCAGCATGCAAAATATTGTCATAAACACTTAAAACATCCTCTGTCGAGGAAGTCCTATTATCTGAATACCTTCAAATTTCTTCAGAAATGAAAAGAATTATGTCAGCTGCAAATGAGTTGGTTGTAAGTAGGCACTAAGTGCCTTGCTTTCTCATCTCATTAAACTACACTGAGTCTAAATTCAGCTTAATACAAGGCTATATGCTACTGGGGACTCTTCTTAAGGATAGGCTCTGGGTTTTGATTTCCTTTTATTCTCCTTGAGCATTGCATTAAGCATCCTCCCCCCCCAAAAAAAGACTTTATTTAGTCTTACTAACTGACCAACCAATCTACAATCTCCCCCACTCATGGTCCTACCTACTATGAGATGAAAGGGAGAGTTGAGCTCCCAATCCTCCATGAACGATCAACATTCATTGTCATCTGCTTTCCAGAAATGGTTTGGCAGCTCTGATTGGTACTGTTTCCCCTTCCTTTGCTCTGATTCTTAGTCAGAGGAGAACCACTTCCCAGCTGTTAGTGACCTAACATAAACACAGGCAAAGGGCTCATGAATTTTAGTGTGGGAGGAGCTTCATAGATCCCTTAGGAAATGCCATGTATTGAGGGATATTCCAGGCCTGGACTGGACTTCATGAAGGACAGGTGTTGCAATTGACAAATGCTGTCTGCCACAGGCTCTTGAGAGAGGCTGCACTCAGGAGGGATCTGGCACAGAGCCACAATTTGCCATCCCTGAGCTGATTCCACTATAGTGAGCTAAGCGACTTGTGCCCCACTTGTTTTTCCCACTAGACTTTTTTTAAAAGTAGAAGTCCTATCAATAACAACAGAAAAACTATTTAAAATATTTAAAAATATTTGCAACAACAAATGTTTAAAGAAAATACATGTTTCCCAAAAAGGACACTGACTGAGGTTTCTATTGGTACATATCCCATGGAAGGACAGAATATAATTTCTGGGCTCTTCTTCAACTGTACCATGAAAAAGTACCACCTTTTAGTGCTCCATGAGTGAGAGGATTAAGGAGTTGAGTAATTCTCTAGCAGTTATGTGGCTTCTGTGATGGGAGTGGGTCAGTAAAGGAAAAGAAAAAAAATACCTATTTTTTTGTTTGTTTGTTTTGTGATTTTTGGGGGGTACTGGGCTTTGAACTCAGGGCCTCATGCTTGCTAAACAGACACTCTGTCTACCACTTGAGCCACTCCATCAGTTCTAAAAATACCTCAGTTTGAGAATCAAGCAAATATCAGTGATCCCAATGACAAAGGAAAAGTCAATGTGATGCTTTTTTGACAGGAAAAATGGAGAATCAATTCTTAGTCTTGAACTTGCAAAACTCTCTTGATCAATTAATAAATAGTATTTACTTGCTTTCTGCTCTGTTCTCAACAGTGTGATGGACCAAGTGAATGCAATGGTTCCATGGTTCCATATCTAATCTGGCTCCTCTATGGAGGGCTTTGGGGCGGGGGCGGGGGGGGGCAGGGGAAGGGAGGGGGCATGTAGCTAGGTAAGATCTCTGGAGAGGCAGAACTGGCCTCCCAAGATCTTCTTTATGTTGTTAGCCACCTAGCTCCCAGGTGAGGAGAGCATTTCTGGCAGTAAAAGCAGCACACAGCAGGCAAGAGACCTTAAGAAAAAGCAAGGCAGCCATGTGATTCTGGAGACAAATAAACACAATTAGCTGTGCTAGAAACAATCTGAAAAGACTCAGTGGGAACAGTGATTCCTTTGCCAAGAGAGAAAACCAAAGGGAAATTCATTTAAAAGGAAACCTTTTAGATCTTTTGGCAGCTGTAACCCAATGACAGTCCTTTTCTTGCTCAGTCTTTTCTCACTGTGGACTTGTCCATCATTTCAAATTCCACCACAATAATGGTTTGACTACTTTGTCAATCAGTTTTTTTTGCCTAAATAGAATCCATTAATATTTCAAGCTGGTCCTTTCATTCTTGTAGATGATGACTCAGGCTTTTCATAGTCATTCTGCCCCATGTACCTAAACAGACCCAGTTCACAGCCCAGTTGGGTGGTTGAATTTATGGAAATTAAGAGTTAAGTCTCTGGAAGTTTTCTCTTCTGGTCCCAAGATCCAGTCCTTTAGTGTATGCTTCAGTTAGAGCAGAGGGCGCTGGAGATGAGAATATGGCTTGATGGTAAACAGGATAGACTCTGGAGCTAGGCAGCTTGGATGTGAATGTTGACTCTGCCATTTACAAGTGTTGGGTGACCACCCAACCTCTCACCATCAATAAAATGCTATTTGTTCTCTTTGCTTTGGAAGTTTACTAACCAAGCACATTCATCAAGTATTCATTAGTCCCTATCTGTGATTATATGTACAGATACACATAATCATAAATCAGCCAAAGATGAGCTGTGGGTAGCTCCAAACTGAGCTATCATTCAGCCAAAAGCAAAGTACTTCCAAGTTTCAATGGCCTGTGTAGCTGTTTGACACACATGTATGTGGTTTTGTAAGTATATGAAAAAATGAAAAAATGTTTAATGAACCCCACCCCCACCAATCTATGCCTCCAATAGATTCAGAGAACTGCTTGTGTCAACTCAAGTACCCCAGCACTAGTCAGACAGGAAACCCCACACTGAACTAATTCCAGGCTACGTATTAAGCGAGCCCTTTATTAAACCAGACTATACCCCATGGCCCTTCACAAATAAGGAATTTGCCATCCCAGTTCTGGTACATACATACCAACTACAATGGCCTTGGGTTGGCTACTTCATCTGTTTTCTCATTTGTAAACTGGGATATCTCCCCTCCTAAAGTTGTTACAGGGATTAGAGATAACGCAAGCAAAGTACATTGGATAATCCTTGGAAGATAGTGCGCTCAATACATAGTAGCTACTTTATGTCTTTGCAAACCTTCATGTAAATATGGACGTACTATTACCTCCTTTGGAATCTGGTCGGTGTTCGTGCCCACTGATTCTCCAGGCCATGAGCTGTATTGCATCCACACAGTTACACACACTTTAATATTTTCTATTTCATGTGACAAAACTTTGATGAAACTGCACAGAGTTGATGTACGATAAGTAAGTTACTGTCACCCATACCTATAGGTCCTCTTCTTTGTGATTCCCACTTCTTCTGCAACTGTCTCGTGATGGTATCTTTTGAACTGAAAGAAAAATAGAAGAAGTAGAAAGTAAGGAGAAAAAAATGTGGTCAAGTCCAGTGATTACGACGCTATTGTTATGAAACGTTTGCTGAGTGTCACTGTGTAAACTGCCCAATGTCAATAGATTACATAAGTGTGAGAACTAAAACTGGAATTCCTTAGCAAAGACTTTGTCTTCTTTATAGTAGCTAAGGCCTCATTTAAAATATTTCTTTCTTTTTTGGTGATATTGAGGTTTGAACTCAGGGCTCTATGCTTGCCAGGTAGGTGCTCTATCACTGGAGCCATGCCTCCAGCCCATCAAAATCTTTCTTATCTTTACCTAAAATTATATTGTTCTTTGACTGTCCCTTCCTCCCCTACAAGAGAATCTATTACATGGAGGAAGGAATCTTCATCTTTGCCAAACATATAGAAGGCCCTTGAAAAATATTTCTTAACCAATTGCTTTGTTTCCTTTTTCTTTCTCAAAACACTCAAGTACAAAAGAGAAATGAAGTCTGTAATCCTGCTTCATGTATGCCTTATGTGGCTGACCACTGTGACCTAATGCAAAAGACAGAGTGCAAACAAATACAGTACACATGTAATGTATGAAGTGGTGCCAAGTGGAATGACAAAAGATTAAGCAGAAGAAAGCAATTCCATACTAGATCCCATTCTGGTTTTTGCCTCGGTCCTGTAGCTAAAGCTGTGTCTCTCATCAAAAACGCCTCTCTCCCCATAGCTCAAGAGGTAGAGCACCTACCTTGCAAGTGTGAAGTCTTGAGTTCAAACCCCAGTACTACCCCCCCTCAAAAAAGAAACAACAACTGTGAGCCAAAATGTTACTCCTCTTTCAAGGTCTCACTGAGGTTTCTTCTGATTTATACTCTGCTTACAAGAGATCACATTGATGTCACCCTGTCCTAAACTCAGGGGTACTGCACCTCACAGTCCAACACACAATCATAGACAGTTTAAAGTTTTCTTTCTCTTTCATGGAAAAATGGATGCCCCTAATGTCTTACAGCCTCCTTGTGTGTGTTTGTATTGAATATGTATGCATGTACGCACACACATAAGTATGTATATATATGCATTATATACTGCTCTTACATCCTCAAAGCGTGTAGCACAGTGTTGGGTTCTTATTAAGTGGTCAAAAATCCCTGCAGAGAAACTGAGAGATTTCTTATCTGAACCCCACCTTTGCTGCCTGATTCTAGTTATACCCCAACATCTTTTCATCTGTGTTAGAATGATTTCCTGAATTAACAAAGATTTGATGAAACCAGTTTGTACCTTCGTGAAATGCCACCCAGCATTAGTTACCTTCTTGAACCTGTCTGGATGACATTTTAGTACTACAAACGATTCACTATTAGGCCAGCATGAAATGGACTAATTCTACTTTTTAAAGTGTTCGGTGTCCCTGGCAACTCAAAGAAATAATATTAATGCATTTATCTCACTTAAGTGAAGAAATACAAAAGCCAAGATGGGATTTCTGGAGTGAATTCATTATGCAGGATATAGATTTTATCCTTTGAGAACCAGTGCACCACACCACTGACTTTATGTTGTCTTAGTTTTCTCAGTTCTCTTCAGAGTAAGTCCAAAAAGAAAGCAAGAGGGCGGTTGTCACCAAAAATGTTTCCCTTAGCACAAAACTCTAATCTCTAGGCAATCGCCAGCAGAGAACTGAGCATTTCTCTTGCATCTCCACCTGGTTTGAGTAAGCACGGCCCTCATCCAGTTTCCTAACTATCTTGAACTTTTCTGGTGGATTTTCTTGGACTCAAACAAGCAGGTGCAGGCTGGGCATTGCTCAAGTGGTAGTGCACCTACCTGGTAAGCACAGGGCCCTGAGTTTAAATCCCAGAACCACCAAGAACAATTACGGTGAAAAAAAAAAAAAAGCAGGTATCATGGAGCAACAAGTATGAAAATGGAAAAATGAGATCTGTTGAAACTGTTCCAGGAATGGAGGGAGGGCCATAAAGGAGAACTGTGGAGAGGCTGAATTCAACTATGATATATTGTAAGAACTTAGGTAAATGTCACAATGTACCCCCCAGTACAATAACAAAGAAAAAAAAAAGATTAGAAAAAGGATGGAGCAAAACATTGTTTTGAGATATTGATGAAAAGCACCACATTCTCTATTTGTTGAGAGATAGGGGTTTTTTTTGTCCCTTCTTCTTCTTTGCTCTTTTAATCTTTGAATACATTACCCTAGAAGGATAAATATCACCACTCTGGTGCTAGCCATGTCTCCAGACCATCATAAAACTCTTAAATCAGTAACCCAGCTCTGGTCTCCCTGGAAGTCTTACAGCCTAGGAACTAGGGATTAATTTAAGCCAGGAACCAAGTCAGCCTGGAAAGGCAGCATGGCTTAGTTCTTCTCTAGTCATGTTTGGAGTCTTGATTTCATTTATCTCCTTAACTGCACATTAAAATTAATGACAATTATCATTAATTTGCTCATTCAACAAATATTGTTCTAAAATGGTATTGAATCCTCTTCAGATAGGAAAATAGGGATAACATGTTAGCTGCCTAGATGGCTTGGAAGCTTGTTTTACCACCCAGCTTCTCTCCCAGAGAAGAAATACATTCCTTAAGCCTGACGCCTAACTCAACCTAACATCCAGTTCAGTTAACTTGATGAAGAGGGCTGTTCCCCAGCCTTTGGGAAAGGGTCATTTTTTAATGTCATGAAGTCTAATTCATCCAAGCTAAGCTTCCGAGTATATAACTAACTAGTTCCTTCCTATTTTCAGGTGAACTTGCTTTGGCCTGGTGGTTTTAGTACTGTGCACAAGGGTTAGAAAGCCAAAAATACTTTTTCCACCCAGCTGTGAAGGATGATGTCATCTCTGAGACTTGACTACATCACCCATGAAGGCAGGGATTTCATTTTTTGCTCATTGTTCCATCCCTAGCGTTCGGCATACACCCTGGCCCTTAATATTTGATGAACGAATGAATGGATGGATGAAGGAACAAAGTATCCGTTGGTTCCCAAACCACTGGGAAGTTCATCAAAATCTCACGGCATACATGTTAGTGTGCAGGGTTCTTCTCAACCAGGACTACCCAACCATGAGTTTCAGTAATTCACAGCATTAGTTAACACAAACACCCTACAAAATACGTCTGAGCAAGAGAGGGCTTTTCTCCCCCACTCACTGGAAGGCAGAAGGTTCCAGCCACATATATGAAGAGAGTAAAAGCCACAAGAGCTAGGGCCATTTCCCTTTTACGTAAACTTAAGAAACAGGAATTTGAAAGCTAGAGAAATTCCAGTAACTAGTCGTGAGCCAACAGAGAACAGAATAAGAACTTTCTTTGAGTCAGGCACTGGTGGCTCACACCCATAATCCTAGCTACTTAGGAGGCAAAGATCAGGAGGATTGTGGTTCAAAGTCAGCCCCGGCAAATAGTTAGCAAGACCCTATCTCAAAACTACCCACCACAAAACGGCTGGCAGAGTGGCTCAAGGTGAAGGCCCTGATTTCAAGTCCCAGTACAGAAAAAAAGAAAAAGAATTTTCTTTGGGAAGAGGCCACTCTGCACTTCGGGCAGGTCACGACCTCTCTACATCTCAATTTCCTCATCTGCGAAATGGGATTATTGAAATATTACCTATTTCATGGGGTTGTTCTGAAAAGTAAATGAAGCAGTAAACTCTTCAGTTGATGGCTATTATTTTACAAAACTGAAGCCAGACTCACGCTCCACTTCCATTTCCCATTCTTCTCCTAGGATCTACTAAATCAGAAGGGGCAAAAAGATGTGGTAGGCAGGGCCCTGTAGCAGTAATCTGAAACCCTGGGTTTCAGCCCCTGTTTTTGCCATTTTCTCATTATTACTTTAACAAATTTATGACAATACCTGCTGTCTATGTGTCATAGGATAGAGCAAACTTTTATCTGATAAAGTATATAAAAGCAGAGGTACACATAAAAAAATATTGAACCAGGTAAAATGATCAATATTAAACACCACTGAGGCTCTAAAACAATGATTTTCAAGCTTTTTTTCACTGCAAGTCAGTATACACCCATCACTATAGCAAAAGCCTGCCAAAACAATACCAATGTTACTTTGACATTTTTTATTCTATTTTCTTTTCTCATTTTTCTTATTTATTTATTTATTTACTTACTTATTTTGGGTTTTTTGAGAAAGTCCCAGGCTGGCTTGGAACTTGCCAACCCAAACAAGCCTGGAACTCATGACTCTCCTGCCTCAGCCTCCTCAGTGCTGAGATTACAGGCCTATACCAGCACTCCTGGTTTTTTTCCTTTTTTTTTTTTTAATGCAAGCCATTAATTTCACAAGGCAGTGGTCCTTGACCTTCAACTCTCACTGGGCATCAGAATCATCAGAGAAGCATTTTAAAAACCTGATACCCAAGCCCTACCTCCTGAGATTCTGAATCAGTGGTTTGGGGTGAGGCTAGGACCACCCCTGGTGAAGCTATTGTACAACCAGTGCTAAGAACCACAGTCCTAATGGTTTCCAGCATTTACATCCCTGACTGCTAGCCACACTGTGCCAGCCTGGAGTGTGTCCTACCTCCATCCTTACCCCTACCCTGCCCAATTTCTGCTTGTTACTGTGAATTGATCACTCACTTATGTGGTTCCAATGTGGGTAAGGAAAGCATAGAAAGGATTGAAGATCAAAGGAGAGCCTGGTTTTCCCCCTCCCACATGGCAGAATAACTCCCTGCAAAGCAAAAACTGGAGAGTATTGCAGTATTTTGTTAAAAGTAAAGGCACCTTTATAGGAATTCTTTGCTCAGGTAGGAGGTGCTAAGGAGAAGAAAAGGGAAAATGCTAGCCATCCTTGCCTGTTGACACGGCAGAGGAAGCTTGGGCTATGTGTAGACAGGGATCTGAGAGAGGCTTCTGCAGCCTGGGAGATGAGTGCAGCCTCCTGCCAGGTGTAGCCCTCATGGAACAGAAAATTCCTTCATCCTCATCTTTCCTTCACACAAGTCTTGG